AAAAGGTTAATTAATTTTAGGAAATATTGTTTTAATTTATCTGGGGCTCTAATTAAAAAGGAGTATGGAATTCCATCTAGACCTGGAGATGTATCATTAAGGCCAGAAAGCGCTTTTTGAAGTTCTTCAAAGGTAAAAGCTCCGTCTATGATGTCGGTGGAGGGAAAGTGGATATTGGGGTTGATGGGAAGGCAGTCAGCATTTGGGACAGATGAAGGAGCTAATTTATCAGCAAACGCTTCAATCCAGCTTGAGGAATCGTTGGCAGTCAAGTTACGACGGTTGTTAGCTCTACGGAATCTTTTAAGTTGATTCCAGACTATTGCTGAAGGGGTACCAGGTGACAAAGATTCGCAGAATTTATTCCATCCTGTTCTTTTTTTTTGTTTGATTAATTTTTTAGTTTGAGCCGCAATTCGTTGAAACGAAAGGAAGTTTTCCATGGACATGGAATGATTGTATTTTTTTTCGGCTTGTTTCCGTCTTTTGATAGCCTCTGAACATTCAGAGTCCCACCATGGAGGAGATATTTTTTTTTGGGTGCAATTTTTTTTGGGGATGTTTATATGTGCGGCGTCAATTAAGTATTCCACTAACGCGTCATAAGCTTTGGTACCATTTTCAGACGTTACTTTTGGAAGGCTATCTACATTACTGTCCAATGTCTCAGAATAAGCTGACCAATTTGCCTTGTGAAGTCTAAATTGTAATAAGGGGGGTGGCCGGTTAGTAGAAGGGGGACTATCTAATGTCGAAATTAAAATTGGGAAATGATCACTGCCGTGTGTACTACTTAATACGGTCCATGATATATTCGATGCCAGTGAAGGAGAACAAACTGTGATATCCACTGCTGATGGGTTTTGATTAGGGCGGTTCCTTCTAGTGGGGCTTCCATCGTTTAGTAGACAAAGATCTCTCTCATCTAATAAGTCAATAAGTTGGCAACCGAGGGAATCATTTGAATATGAACCCCATACCACATGATGTGCATTAAAGTCTCCCATAATTACTACCGGAGGAGGAAGTGTCATAATAATGGCTATTAATTCTGGGATAACAATATTAGGTGAAGATTGGGGAGGAATGTATATTGATAAAAATGTTATGTTTAAGAGTCTCACAGCCACTGCGTTAATGCTGTCACTGTGGGGTGGTAAGTTGATTTTATTAAAAGGGAGGGAGTAGCTGACCAGCAATGCACTCCCTCCATAACCGTCCCTCCTGTCATCCCGGAGGCAGGAGTACCCGGATATGCCATAGAGTGCACCAGGCACCAACCATGTCTCCGATAAGGCAAAGAGAGATGGGGAGAATTTATTTATAAAATAATTTAGTTCATGAGTTTTGGTATTAATGCTACTGCAGTTCCATTGAATTATCGTCGCCATTTTTGTTATTAGTGAGAAATTTGTGAAGTTGATTGATTTTTTGCGCAACGTTGGTCGGTACTGGGATGTCATCAAATCTATTTAGAAGGCTTACAACAAATGTTAAGAGGGTTTCTAACAAGTTATCATTTGGGGAGATTTCTATTGGTGCATTGTCATTATTGAGAGCGCAGCCATTTGGGAGGAAAGAGGGGCAGTTTTCAATAATAGCCTGATGGGCTAATCGATCATATCCCGGGCTCAAAGGGGTTCTAGAGCTTGGGGGAAGGAATACAGTTTTCCGATATGAAGTTGTACCTGTTGGATGTTTGTTAGGAGATGTTTGTGTGTGCTGAATATGGGGATGCCTCGATAGAGGAGATTGGGTTACATCCGCATAGGATCTTTTCACTGAGGGAAATCTTTGGGATGCTTCTTGGTATGAAATATTATCTTGTGACATGAGTATTTTAATTGATCTTTGTCGAGACTGTTCTGGGCAACTTTTGTTAGTAGCATAATGACAGCCTAAACAGAAAAGGCAAGTTGATTGAGCTTCAATAATACTACATGATTCCCCAGAGTGAGGTTGAGCGCAGCGGAAGCAACGTGGTTTAGACCGGCATTGTACTTTAATGTGTCCAAATCTGCAGCAGTTTAGACATTGTATAGTGGGAAAATGGTAAGCTTCTACTGGCACGGACGTATGGTAAACAAAAACTTTATTAGGGAGGACCTGTCCTTGGAATGTAAGAACTACAGTTTGAGTTGGTACCCAGGTCACTTTGCCATCTATCACAGTCTTTCTATTAAGTCGTCTTGCCTTCAAAATATGACCGCAGCTAACAGGGATTACTAACGATTCTACTAACTCTTCCATTGATAGATCAGATGGTACACCTTTAACAATTCCCATGCGAGTAACATTGTAATTAGGTATTTGTGCAGTATATTTATAGATTGAAAGGAAGGAGTTGTTTATGAACTGATTTGCATCCAAACTGGTCATAAATTCAACAGAAATTCTATTGCGACCAACTTTTTTAATACCATCATTGACAATATTTTTAATCTTGTTTTTAATTAGTAACTGGCCAAACTTAATGGGATGAATTGATATGCCTGATGAGGGATCTGTTTCAGTTTTAGAGATATGAACAATAAAAGGGCCTTTATCACTATCAATATATTGTTTGTTAGTTTCGTTTATAGATGGGTGGGTGTATATACCGGGAGGGTTCTCTGTGACATCTGTCTGCCTAACCTCTGTTATTACTCTTTTGGGTGTGTTAGTCAATTCGGGTTCAATTTCATTTCGACGTTTAACTCCTGTCTGTGTGAATAGCGGAGGAGAAAGTTCCATCATTAGTGGAGTAGAAGGCCGATCCGGCGGATCCGGAGGTTCAGGAGGGGTCCTTTCCATTGATTATTTTGTAATCAGTGGAAAGGACAGGGAAACAGAAATCTATGACTACTTACCAATACCAGCTGTTAGTACTAAATATAAACACAATATTTCGTAATTCCACGTAGAAAATGGGCTAATATTCACTAAATAAACAAAGAAATCCCCATACCACGTGTAACAACTACGACCAAAAAAACGCGAATCTCTGTATTGACATCAAAGAGTACAGTAATATTCTATTTCCATATTTGCCATTATGCATCCACACGTCGAATGATACTAATATAAATAAGTAATATATTACAATAAAACTGTTTACAATTTCTAGAGAAGGTTGAGTAGCAAACCAACCTATTATTGTACCCACCGTAGGAATTAATATAACGCCTGGCTCAAAACTCAAGTTACCAAGCGAGTTCAGTAGCATAATATAATAACTATTAAGTATCTTGTGACTTAAAAATTTAAAGTTATTTAAACCTTGCTGTGCGCTTCCAACGAACGATTCTTGTTGATTGTTGAGTTCTAACCTTTGCACCCAGTATCCTATATTCTCCTTTTCTTTTTATTATTCTCCTCCATGGATTGCCTAGAAGAGATTGCTGTTTAGCAATAAGCCGCCTTTTGTGTACTATGTATTGTTATACCGTGTAATATATTTTCTCCTGTCAGTCCTTATGCAATTAAGATTATTATTATTATAACTATCCTAATATTATAAAAAGGAAAGTTTTAATTGTATGTTTTTTTTGCATTGAATCGGCCTTAAATAACTAGACCGATTTAAAAATTCTTTCACCTACGTAAAGTTTCATTATACGTAGGCGACATAGGTTATGCCGGCTCCAGAATGAGCAGATCTTTTCATCATGACAGAGTAGTTTTTTTTTTACTTACTTATACTTATTGTAAGTTACGTCCATCGTGTAATAGACGTAGCGGACAACTGAATAAATCGAGGCTAGCACTTCTGCAGCCTCTAGAAGCTTCTAGGAGGCGCCTCGTGAGAGTCTGGAGCGAGCATATTATAAAATGGACGTGACTGAAGTCACTGTGTTAGCTACTTCATGTGCCTACTAATATTATTATGTCATGCCTATAAATTATCGATGTAAACAGAAATAGAAAGCTAAAACGCAGAAGATGGTAGATGGTGTCAATATTCCGGAACAGGACGATATAAGATGTTGTGAATTTGTTTTTTTTTTATTCATAATTTTTAAAGCTATCATTAATCGAAAGAATATTAATTAAAATACGTACATTTTTTAGGGCGCTGTACGCTGGAATACAGGATGTCTTTTTCCTATTTCGGCAACAGAGCAGTAATTAAAGTTGTTATCTAATTTTTTACATTAACTAAAGTACGGCCAACGAGAAGCGATACCAAATGTAAACAAAACCAATGCAATGTCATTAGGAAATGCAGGGGTGCGTAACTTTTTGAAAACTGTGTATTTTATAAGCAGACAATAGTATTTTAAATAATACCCGGCATTGAGTTACTTTATGTAATTGTTATTCTAAAAATCTAACAGTAAAAAGAATATGAGTTGAAATTCGAATAATAATACTCAAAACGATAGGCATGGCAGGGAGGTATCTCAAGTCTAATTGACTTAACTCGTAGCTTGTAACCTATTGTATCTTATGACTATGATTTGACATTTGCTATTTTTTTATGTAATTTAATTTTTTGACATTTTCTTTCATATAAAATCCGACAATTTATTGCTTATTGACTTTAATATTTGCACATCGTCTTGACGATAAAATATGCTGGTCTAAAATTGTAAAACTACCTTGTAACCATATTTTCGCAAATCTATAATACTATTATTATTATTAGGACCTGCTATTTTTTATTAATTACAGTTTGAATTATTTTATTAATGTAGATATCAAGAATGAGATTTTAATGTAAAAAATAATAATATTGTTTATGGCATTGAGGACAATAATGAAAATGAATGAATCACTAATATTTATAATAGTCGCCTGAATGTTAGCGAACCCTGGCGAACCCATCTTGACCTTGACACATTTTTTCCGGGAGAACGAGACATTGCGACAAATACACAAGATAAAAAGAGATAGATAATAGATTGTCAACTCCACAGTCGTTTTTCGGGTAAATGACCTTTTGTATCGCTGCTAGTTGGCTGTACTTTAAGTATAATTGTAATATTCCTACTTTATAAAATAAAGATTATTATTTGCAGGTAAAATATGCAGAGCAAGATGGCATAAATTAAGAGAGAATTACCGTAAAGCTTTAATTCTTAGAAAAACAAAAAGCGACCAGGGCGCCTCCAAAATCAAACCACCGAAATATTATCGAGAACTAAGTTTCCTTACACCATATTTCAATGATGATGAAATTACTCGATTTAACATACCAGATGTTTCACATACTAGTAATATACGAACATCGGAGCACGAAGGAAGCCCTGATTACACAAACGATTCTCCTGGGGGCGGTGGCGATTCACAGAATTCAGATTCATCATTATCGAACAGAACTTCCAATTCTCAAAGACGCAAGACTAAATCCCTTAGAGTACCGCCCCCGCCAATTAGGCAAACTACTGCAGCGGCAGTTTTAAAGGATTATTTATCAAGAACGACACAGCGCAGAAACCCCGAAACTGACACACTAATCGATTTTTTCGTCACAATGGCCAAAACCGTCGCTAAATTTCCCGTTCATAAACAGTTGAAAATTAAATCTCAACTGTTTAAAATGGTCCACGATGAGGAGATAGCAGAAGCAAATGCGGTAAGGGCCGCCCTCTATTGAAGCGGAGCGGCGCCAGAATGTGCGCCGTGGGTACTCCGACCGATCGTCTATTCTCACGCGATGATGATGACAAGCGATCGATCACTATTCCTTTTAGTTTCAATGTGAAACCCGCTCTGCTTCAATAGAGGTTCATACTTAGTCACCGTCTGTAACGTCCCATAGAAACGGAGCGAGAAAGAGAACGGTAATAAAGGGATTCGTTTGGTTAATTACAGTGGAAACCGTAATGGTTTTTACAAGTAACAACAACTCAACGCTACACTAACTAAATAAACAGTACCTTTGGTCAGTGTGAAACTCACGAATGAGCGAATTTGAATTGAATTGCACTGAGTGATTATAAATAGACTGTTCACCATTACCGGCAATTGATGATGTTACATTAGTGTCAGTGTAAGAAAAGAGCGTGTTCAGCGACAATATCTCAAGTGAGCTGTAAAATGTTCGCTGCGGCGGGTTATTTAAATAATCACGAATTTTATTAACTAGCTAAACTGCGCTAGCGCAATCTCTTCTCTTAAATTATTCAGATATCAGTTATATTATTTGTTTAATGTAATTATGATGGTGTTTCCGATTTTCATACTGAGCTCACTTTCCTTCTTTACTGTATTCCGTTCAATCCACCTTCATCAGCTTACCTTAAGGAACTTATCGGCCTTTGCGATACCGATTAGCACACATGAGTTTGAAGTCGTAGTAGAGGATTCGATGCCACCTGCGAACACCTAAGAAATAAGTTAATCAATATTTATATCACAGATCACCTAGCAATAAGATCCAGATTCAATCTGTTTGTTCCATTACCTTGTTTACTTTAATGCTAACGCTTCTTTTCAGGAGTAGACATGAGAGGAAAACAGTGCAGCTGTTCATTCTCTAACGTTATTGACATGAATCGTGAATGGCACCCCACAACCTAAACAAGTGGAACTTCTCAACGTCCAACCACGCATTTTAAATAATAACAATAACTCTGATCTGAAATATTACTGGCCGAATACTAAAGTAAACATACATTTTGATCTGTATAACCTGCAAGTATTCTTTGGTTTCTATCGCCATTCTAAATTTATTTATTTTTATCTTATTCATTGCTCAAGATATTCGAAATTTGTTACATACTTATAACATGGGAATAAGTTTTGCATTATAGAAAATTATTGCGACAATCTTTTGTATAATTTCTGTATTATTATATTAAATTTTACTTTTTACTTTTTAGAGCGTTTAAACAAGAGTTTGTTATTATTTTTAATCTTCGGACCGAACGTTTGATAGCCAACCATTAATGAAAGCGTCTCAAGACAACTGGTCGCTGCATTGGAAGTAGAATGAATTCATTTTATTATTAAATAAAACTACTTTCAACCGTTTTTATCGCTTGTATTATTATTATTATTATTTCATACCTAATCCTTTTAATTTGTCCTTTCCTTTATCCTTTTATAGCTATAATCACAACACTACATGTAGTCAGTAGCAGGCAGATTGTACAAGAAAAAGGATTCTGGATATTAAAATATAAGTATATTTCATTATATAAATTACATTTTCATAAATAGGTAATTATTATAACTTATACTTATTACTCCTGACGATCTTGAATGTTCCCAATCAAAACTATGAAACGGCATAATTGCAATGTTGATTACTATATTGTATTGATAATTGAATTGCGTTCAAGACTAAGGGGGCGGGGCTTGTGCTTTTGAGAACACAGTCCACAATTATTTAGACAATTTTTCAACGAGGACGTATGTAGAAAAAAGGAAACTAAAATATGTGTCACAAGATGGCTGCAAAGTCATTTACTTAATGTATAAGTCACGTAAATTGCTAAGGCGCTGGATTCTAATCTAAATAACACCCGCGTGACATCATCTATATACAATAAAAAGTATAGATAGCACAAAATGAATGAGAAAAATTATTTATTAATTTATGAAATATTTTTGAATAATAATTTATTAACTTTTAGTTTATTAATATATTGCATTAATTTTAGGAAAAAATATGATAAAATAACATTTATTTTGTAATAATGCGACAAAAAACGGAAAGGGTATATTTTTAATTTAATTTAAAGACATATTTCAAAATAGCCGTTGCTATTTCAATTAACCATAACAAATGACAACAAAACTTAACAATAACATTCGAAAAAAATTATAAAAATTGTGTGTGACCTCAACATAACCCAACTCAATAAGTGCACTCTTCAACCAGAGTTTATGTGTTAACGGTACCTATTACTTGAACGTCATTACGACACCAAAATGGCGGCCAGGCGCATTAGCAATTTGCGGGGATTTATAAAATAATGTTGCAAAATTTAGCTATGGTGTATAATAATATTACAGTGACATAGTTATTTTTATTAAAATACTGATGGCATAACAGGTCTATACATTTTACATTATATTATTTAACAAGAGTTCTAAAAACAGTTACAACTAGGAGAGTTAGTTTTGTTGCTCTTACTTGATAGTTGAGCTAACATAATAATAATAATAATATATTGTTTATTGCACACTACAAAGGAAATAGCACAAAGAAGCAAAATAAGAAAGAAGTATCTTAAAGGCGACCTATTGCTAAGAAGCAATCTCATTCAGGCAACCCATGTTAGAAAAAAAAATAAATGAAGAACAAGAGCGGCGTGGGTGCAAGGCGATAGTAATAATAATAAATAGATGTATCTGGATACATAACTGGGAAATTAGATAATTAAACTCATCAGAAACATATTAAAAGATTAAGAAAGTCGAGATAGTGATAGGAAGTGATTCTTCACTTGAGCAACAAAACAACCCAAAGTATGAGCTCTCTTTGTTGCTTCTGGCTGGCTGGCGTGTGAGGAAGAAGAGTAGGAGAGGAAGTCACTAGCGAGACGGGGAATTTCGAGAGGCAAGTGAATGAGTAAAGTAATGTCAAAACTACATTTAAATTCAATAATATTTCTATAATTTGTGTGGTAAATAAATGAATAGGTTTATTAATCAGTAACAAGGTTCACAAAAAAAGCAATTATTTTAATAAAAAACAAAAGTTTTGAACGTATGTACTCGATACATATCAAATATACTAGGTACTTGTACGAATTAACATGACATGCGGATAAAACGACGTTTGTCCAAAGTACATAGAGCAAATAAGTTGTCAATTCGGATTCAAAAACATATTCATAAAAAAAAATTAAAGCAGATAATAAATCTTATCTTGATAATTATTTTTAAACCGTTTGAAACGCACACCAAGAGAATTATTTTAAATTTCAAAATCACAGACACGCTACAGAACTCGCACGGCGGGGGGGGGGGGGGGGGGGGCGACGTCGTGCGGCGCAGCGAGGGGAGTGTGGAGTGTGGAATAGACAGGTGTTATGTTAATTCGTACGGTAGGTTTGTACTTTTTCTTTTTCACCATAATATGCAAAGTAATAGGTAGCCTACCTATCCTAGAAATCAGTTTAATTTTAAAATATAATGATTTAATGGTACGCATAAATAAACTGAATTCTGCGCTCTGCTTTTTGTTCTTCCTTTCAAAACAGAATTCGGGCGAATCGAGTCAATTCAAATTACGAGCAACAATAAGTTGGCTCACCACTACTTTGTATGTCAACACAAACAGCCTTTTACACGTAGCATAATTAGCAGTTTAAAAAATAAAACTTAATTTTTAAGTTAGATATTATAAGAAACACAAAACGATGCCATATTTATTAATTTTGGACACTCACTTTACTTAATTACATCGAAAAGAAAATCTATATGAATATCACAGACAATATGGAAAAATCGTTAGTGAAATGTGGTTTTTAGAATCACTATTTTTAAATACTTCCTCATAGCTATGCCTTTTAGGTAACTATTCTCAGGATGGGCGCTCGCCATAGACAAATATATTTATGGAAAGTGCTAAACGTCTAAATGACCGAGGTGAGAGCGATGTGAAGGAGTCGGTTTATATTTATATGCTCTTTAAAATAGGGATGACGACTAATTTTTATTTGTTTGTTCGTCGAGTAGTGTTGAAAAATATTAATCACGTATTTTATTTTTTTCGTAATCATAAAATTACGGCGGTACATGGAGTTGAAATTTCGCATGACGTCACGTTATGGTACGTTTTCTACTAAACTGTGACGTAGCGAGCCCCCACTCTTCAACTTTAATACCTGTTATCAAAGCTATTTCTCGTTAAATTGAAGTAAAAAAAATACGTATCTATGAGGATTAAATAGAATTGCAATTTTTTTACCCAGTCGTCATCCCTATTGCCGATTTAACATCATTATTTGAAATTTTTAAAAAAATATAGAAATAAACAATCTTTAAAATGATGGATTGGACGACCGGGGGTGAGAATAACAAATCCAACATGCAGACGTCGGGATCGGAGGGGCGGGGGGACGGTCCAGCCCGTCCGCCGCGACGCGAGGGGACCCGCGCCGGCGCGAGGGCCGAGTAGACTCGGTCCCGGCCTAAAAGTGCCCGGACGATAGACAACGTCGGCCACGTGCGCTAGGCGTGCGGCGCGGGGGCGGGGGCGGGGGCGGGGGCGGTGCGGGCGCGGCGGTGCGCGGCCTGCACGCGGCGGAACCGCTCCAGCAGCGCGGGGAAATCCACCGTCGACCGCTGCGCCGTCCGACTCGACGATTCCGGACTCCTGGATATCACCAGAACTTGTCACCTTACCAAATTTGTAACGCCTCCATACGAAATGCATATGCATACATGGAACGGTATTCGTTTCAAAGTTCCGTGACGTCGTACGCTATTCGTAAAATAAAATATTAAAAGGGGTATAGCGCACCTGTGGTCATGCGCGTGCGCGTGCGCGTGCGGCGGCTGGCAGGGGCAGGGCGCGCACTGCAGCCGCGCGCGCAGCGTGTGGAAGGCCGAGCTCTGCGGCAGTAACATCAGCAGCCCGTACAGAGCGCTGCGCAATTCACCGCTCTCTTCGCCGTCCAACAATTCCAGACGCATATCTGACACCGAACAATCACACGATCAATCTAGCCATAA